ACAATGTATGAATATTTTTTTCAGAACGATACCTCACGTGTAAACGTTTCAGTCGAAGACGTGAACGAATGGGAACCTCGATTCCAATATTCCCGATATGAATTTCATGCTCATTCCGCGAGAGAAGGCTCCGTCGTAGGTAAATCTTCTCTTTGTTAAATTAAATTTCTATCAACGTTCTATTACTCTCGATATTCAAGGAACATGCAACTTTTCAGGGAAATTAGAAGCAGCTGACGGCGACAGGGGAGACAAAGTCAGCCTATCCCTCAGAGGACAAGATGCAAGGTATAAAATTATAATAAATTTTAATAGCTCAGTAGTAAAATTACATATGAAAATAATATACATAAAAAGTAAGATGTATTTAATCTTAATTTAAAAAAAAATCTTTTAATTAAATAAGAGTTATACGTGTACATTTTATTCTTCGCAAAATAATTATAATTATTTTTAGTAATTATATATAAATTATATTATTTTCAGATCCTTCGAGATTAGAGATAACGGAGAATTAGTGCTGAGATCGCTAGGTTCGTTTAATGGATCTTTGGCCAGATTTATAGCGGTAGCTACCGATACCGGGAAACCGCCCAGGTATATTTATAAGTTTGTATGAGATTATTTAACTTACTGTTAACAATTATTTTAGATGTTAATCTGTGTTTGCCTGCAATTTCTTTAGATCCAGCATGATCCCGGTGATCGTTCACATACCGAACGGCGGCTCTTTGCCGATCGCAGCGAGAGCCGCACCCGCTTGGCTCGGTGGCAGCGTGCTATTAGTTGCAATCTTCGGCGCAGTTTTGGGGCTTCTTGGAGTTGTCATACTTATTCTCATTCTTTACATTTATAAACAGTGAGTAAATGTGTCAAACACAATTTATAACTATGTAATAATGGAATAATATTAATGTATAGACACTAGGGTGTGTTCTTTTGGAGCAACTTTTTTTTTCATTTTACGAATAGCATATATACTTGCAGGAAGGTAAAATAAGATACCTGTTAAAATTTTAGCCCTTAATATTAATATTAACAGGTCGCTCATCGCGATTTTTTATTTTTCATCATTTAGTAAAATAGAAAAAATTTTATAACTATCTAACAAACAGTAATACAGCATTGCGCCACATAGATTTTCTGTAGAAATTTACCGCTCTACAAAAAAGATCTCTTATCATTTTTTCATAAATTTAACGGTTCAAAAGATATTCAAAGTTAAAGTTTGATAAATTTTATAAAACTTGTTTTTGCTTCTTATGAATGTTGTATTATATCGACTATCAAAAATTATGAAATAATCAATACATATTTTTGTATAAAATTTAACGATCTACAAAAAAGGTCTCTTATGTTTTTTTCATAAATATAACCATTTAGACGACATTAAGGTTTATACTTCGAACTTTAAACCTTAATTTTTTCTATCTTACTAAATGAAAAATAAAAAATCGCGATGAGCGACCTGTTAATATTAATATTAAGGGCTAAAATTTTAACAGGTATCTTATTTTACCTTCCTGCAAGTATATATGCTATTCGTGAAATGAAAAAAAAAAGTTGCTCCAAAATGACACACCCTAATAGACATGTAATAATAACTAAGCGCTATGATTACATCATATGTTTTCTCTTTATACATTTTTAATTTTCTGATTTCTGATTTGTCAAGAATTTACAACAAAAATATTAGAGTTAAAAATATTCCAAAATTTTTATTGGATTAAGAGAGATTTTATTAACAAATAACACACTTTTTTTTATAAGTAAAAGGCCAAAAAGCGGGAGTTCGGTCAGCTCTGTGGGTACAGGATACCGCGAAAAATCACCGGTTCCCTCAGCTCTGAGTCCAACTCCGCAAGTACTAGGTGCCAACGTTCTTCAGGACGCCTTGGAGGGCCCGCGGAATCGGCGTCACGATATCGATGGCAACGAGAATGATAACGTGGACAGCTGTAACGAAATCGATAATCCCGTCTTCGGAGAAACCAATGAAAGCTCGTACAGTGCTACAATCAAAAGTACGTTTCTATAGGCAGCACAAGTCGAGCAATACTGCACAAGCTTTCTATTCTTCGCGCTCGGCATAATTTAACTCGACATACTTTATTTTGATTCTATAACTCTTCACATGTCTTTCTTTTTTTATACATCTATTTATTAATTGTATATATTTATTAACTGATTACCAAAAACTGCTCGATGTAATTACTAAAATAAGATTTCTTCTTTACGTATACCGCGATTATATATATATATGTATAGGTATATCTTTCTCCTTCCTGAAGCGATCTGAAATTACAGAGTTTTCGTAAAATCCTATTGTCAAAGATTTATAATGTTAAAACATTCTATTTCTTTCTCGTATTTTTACTAGGTATAGCGTCGGCGAGACAATTACCACTGTACGCCCGGCATAAAGTAGCGCCCGCCCCGAATCCACCAGCTTTATCAGCCACTTCGAACATTCCCAATATTGGCGGATTGGTACAAAATATGAATGACTTGAGTGCTAGAACTAATCTGGATGCTGGATCCCACGACTCTTCCAATTATTCCGGAGATCCGCCAGACTCTCTGGTGCCAACGTGGCCCGCTAGTTCGGCCTTGCCGAGGATCAAGAAGTTGTCCTGGGACGACGACGACAGGGTAGTTATCTTGCGACAAATTTGCAATCTAGCAACTAAATTAATTCACAGATTCTTTATCTAAATTCCACATTGTACAACAAATATTAAAGAAAAGATGTAATATTTTATAAGTTGGTTTTATATAAACAGAGAAGTGTTTTATAGAAATATTGCGAATTGTTAAACAAATTTAGCTTGAAAGATTTAAACAACAATAATTTAAACAATTGAAACTACATCAGAACCGTAATATTTTCCACATTGTATTGAGCGATTTAAATAGAGAATAACGTCTCACGATACTAACTGTTTTCTAAGGAATACAATTGCATTGACTTATGCAAGAGAAATAATTAAATCCAAGTTCGCTTGCAAATACAAAACTTCATGCAATCCTGAAGAGCAGATAGATGGAGAACACAATGGAGACAGAAGTATTTATCGTTTTCCAGACCGTGGATAGTGTCGAGGTCGCAGCGGAAACGCGAACCGGAGACAATCAAGCTGGCAACGAGAGGCTCAATCTCACCGTATACTTCTAACGATCCGTTATTTTGTAAATGGGACGAATGTCCGATAATGATGGCGGAAGACTGTTGTAAGCGCTGTTTGACCAATTCAGTTAAATAAAGTCTCGTTGATGTCGAAATTCTGTGAATGAATTTCGAAACATCGCAACGCGATGCGACCTTACCCGCGTATTCGGTCCACAGAGTATCTGTGTTATCTGCGCAGCATAGCGTTAATTCGCATCATCCTGAATGGATTACATTCATTATCTGCACGATTCGACATTGATCTCCGATATAATAAGAAGTAATCATTAGAAATTGTGCTAGAAATTCAACAATGGCAAAATATTACAAAGAGCAAGCTTTCATGTTAAAATTTACATTAAAATGGGGAAGAAGTAAAGAAATAGCGAATTGGAACATGACGATAAGTCCGATGATATCCTATAAATATTATCAATACAAATTAATTAAGAAAAGAAATAATAAAATATTTTTGATAATTATATTGTTAATGTACAAGAAACATTACGATTGTATAGTTACCGTATATTTTTAATCACCTTGTTAATAAAATTGATAAATTATCGATAATTTAAATTTTGTACGTGAAACATTGTTCTGTGTCTGATGCTTACTACTTCACTATACTTTAAGAGTTATCACAGATTTCTAAACCGCTAGTTTCATTTTAACAAAATTATTCGAGGAAACGTTCAATTGCTCGCTATTACACGCCGCAAAGATGAAAGTTTAATGCATAAGAATACAAATTACTTACAAGTTGCGTGAGCCGCGTTATAACGAGAAAGTATATATAATGACTTCACACGCTTCTATCATTAAGAAGCAGATGAAATTTCCGCGTTTGCGCTTTGTTAAAGCCACCGATATTCGAATGCACAGAGGAAACCGTGTCAGTAGGTCGATCTTCGCGAGTAATTACACGAGTAAATGAAAGAACATTTGCGGGATTTAAAATTCATGGAAATGCAACTTTCGTTGGAAACAATAAATACAATTGTTAGACATAAAATTGACTAGATTAAAAAAAATCTCAGGGTAAAACGCGATAAAGCAATTTTTGAAAGAGATGAGATTTTATCTTTGACATCTTCTATCTTTGCTAAAAATATGAGCATTCTTTAAGCATGCTTCTTAACATAAAGACATAACAATTTCTGCAATAATAATTGCAGTGAGAGAAATGAGTTTTATATTAAAAAAAATGCTATAATATAAATTCTATAGTTATTAGATATGAAAAGTTTAAAAAAAAATCATAAAAACATTCATATAAATTTCAATAATTAATCTATTATTACAAAAGTCACTTTATATTTGTTACCATATCTATTGTTAAAGAAACATTAAGCGGAAGTATAAATGATCAAACTGCTCTTATATTCTCTACCGATGATATTTTTTGTAATAATTTGTTCTAAAAAATGAATTTATATATCTCATTGTAATAAACTGTCATTATAATCAGTAGCTTATCAAATCCCATCTGAGGTAGGCTTGCCGAAGAAAGTGACTTGACTTCTAAGGTGGGGAGAAAGTGACCTAGAGAGGTCTGGGCTACGACATCGTCCTCGAATCTTTTCTTCTCAGTCTTCCGTAACGTATGATTGGGTGTGGAATACTCGTGATACCAAGTGAAAATATTTCGTGAGAAGTTAATTATTCCATGCAAGCCATGTGATTGAAGGTATTTACATTTGTGACGTATAAATTTCGTGATTATTTTTTTTTTAATATACGAAGTAATTATAAAGAAATTTGTTCTCTTAAAATACCTCGCTGTTTTTGTACATAAATTTCATAAATTTTTAAAATTGTAAAAATGTATTGTTTAATAACATATACTTTTTGTTGGAGAAGTAAAAGATTTAATTAAGGTATTAAATTTTAATTTAAAAGTTAATTTGAATTAAACATTTTAAAATATAAACTAATATTAGGCTAATTAATCTTGATTTAATATGTCGACTATTTATTATTTTATTTTAATCTTTTAATATTAAATATTGCATGTCGCATTTTGCAAAATATTTTCTTATATAATTCTTATATATTTAATTAAAACAATCGATATTGTAATACAGGTGTTACAATACATTGCACTCCAGTCGTAAACAGAAATTTTTAATGTATCTGTGTCCATTGAAATTTCAAGGATAAATCCTGCCAGTCATTTCTGTAAATGAAACTGATAAAGAAGATAATTGTTTCCGACTCCGACAATCATTATACTAACTTCCCTAATTTCATTCATTACGTAATTACTGTTACAAACGCAATGAGACATACATGAATTGAAAATTCATGCTTCGATATGTAAAACATCAATTTTTCTGAAAAAAAAAATTTTTTTCGAAATATTTAATGTATTTATATGCATAAATTTACCCAAAATATATATTATGCTAATAAAATATTATAATATTATTTTTGTAAATCAACGACTACAATGAGAAATAGAGAATCAATTAGAATCAGATATAATCAGATGTAATATAAAAAGAATAATGCATCTCCTGTAAAAATTATTGCAATTTGAGTTGAAATGGAAGAATTCATTATTATGACACAATATTTCTTATTTTAAAATACTTTATTTCCTTAACGCATATATAATGTTATATTTTAGTATCCAAATTTTCTTAAAAAGGCAAATATTTGTATTTTCAAATACATACATTCTCTTACATGTATCTGAAAGTTACTTTTTTGTAAATTACGTCGTTACATCACGTACATGAGTGCATAAAGAAATTTTCCAACGTACTCGTTTTACATCCGGATGTTTGCTATTTCAACATGCCACCGTAAACTTTCCTGGAGAAAGTCAGAGATACCGCCAACATTGATTCAGATGATAAACGGAGTATCTTTATTTCATTTACTTTACATTTCGTGGAAGGTTGAACGCCGGCCTTTCAGTTCCTGTATCTAAGATCTCATCTCTGTGCTGTATTTCTTCTTCGGTCTCAAAACCATGACGACGGGAAAGATAGCCGTGCAATTATATTCTTCAATTACGCTTATCACGTTGATAGCAATCGTCAGCGTGCTATCAGGTACGTATTATAATTTATAAATACGATATTTTTACAATTTATGTTAAGAAAGCAAAAGAATAAGATTAATGTTATCTCTATAATCACTAAAATTTTTTTAGAAAAGTTAACAAGATCGATAAGAGCATGTACGAAGTGTATACTCTTACTCGTAATAATCTATTTTTTTCTAATGTCATCTTTAATTATTATTATTCAATTATATTACTATATTACGTTCTTGTTATTAGATTATTAAATCTTCAATTATTAATCCAAATTATCAATCCAAATTACCCGATTGTGCGATTGAATTTTCTGATATAATCACTATAATTTTATTAGCTGTGCCATCATCATCCCAACCGAATATAACAACTGTTACAATGAATCATGGTCCATGGGCAGAGATTCTCGAAAATTGGATCACCCTTCAATCCAACAATACTCGTGCCGCACGAGTAATAAAGATTGATGATAAGACTGTGACAGTGTCGACTAAAATCGCCGCATCAAATAAAAGAGACGTTTCTGAAACTGATCTTTACCTACTTGGTACGATTTATAAAAGATTGCAAAGAGATTTCATAATTTCAATCATCAATATAATTTATGAGTAATTACAACAATTATAGAGAAGAGAGAAATTATAAGAGAATTTGTTTTTTATTAAAAAAATAAGATTCAAGAATCTTAAATTAAAATTTACAGGTGCCATTGAGAAATTGGTATACCGAGTGGACCACCTAGAAAAACGAGTAAGAAGAGCAGAAGAATTGTTATACTACGTTATTGCAGGAAACAATAAAATGAAAGGTAAAACTGCCTTACTATAAAAAAGAGTCATCGATGTGAAATAAATGATTATAATCAACCCATATTACATTTCTTCTTTCATACTACAAATATTCAGAAGACATTAATTAAATGTTAAGAAAGAAAGGCAAATTTGTTGTTTACCAGCTTAATTTAATATATATCGTTGTTTATTATTGCTATCGGTTTTTCAGAACCTTGTCCTGCTAATTACACGAGAATGGGCCAAAACTGCTATCACTTCAGTAATCGTGATTTTAATTGGAAATCATCGGCCAGTCTCTGTCGCGGTATGGGTGGACACTTGGTCGAATTCAACACAATCGAAGAGAGCCAAGATGTAATCGCGGGTTTGATGTCGGACGCCAAATTGAAGGGCAAAAATTTCTGGACAGGTGGCTTAAATCCAGGACTTTTATGGATCTGGGCGAGCAGTGCTAGACCGGTTCACCAAGATACTAAACAACCCGTTATTGGTGATGGCAGGTCGGTATCACTTTTGAATAGCAATAGAATATTTTTGCATAGATAGAATAGAATTATTAATGGCGTACATATATTAAAAGCCTTTATGTGTTCCACGATAATTACCGATGTTGCAAAGCGCTCGTTAAAAAGTAATTTATTACGCTCTGTTATGGTGAACCAATATTTGCATTATAAAATGTTTTAAATTGCAGATGCTTGAAGTTAACTTTCAACGCATCGTCAAAAATTTACTCGTACAGAGGTGAAGATTGCGGCTCGAGGCAAAGATATATCTGCGAATTGACAGTCGACGATGAATCGGCAAACAGGATTGAAAGAACAGCACGATTATTGATTGATAAAAAAAATTAGACGCGTTTTAATGGCTGATGGAAACAGGATGACAAAACGAACACTGAGGAATTACTTTTATTTATAAATGTGTATATCTTTAGTAATTTATATTATAAAAGTTTTATATTAAAATAGTACAATCATTTTTTAATATCAAAATAGTATACAATCACATTTTTAATCAGAAATGCGGTATATTCTTAGATTGTTCTTGGTACTAACTGTGTGCAGATAATGTTTGTAGCAATTTTACATAAATTTAAACAAATTGACAGTTAATTATAAATTATATCACTTATAAATATTTTTTGTCACGAGCTGTTAATGTGATATGTAACCTTGATGTATTGAAAATTACTAAAGTTTTACTTCTCAGTCTACATATATTTCCACTCATTCATTTCTATCTATATCTATTTCCATTTCAACACAGTGCTATACTAAATCATGAGAATGAAGATGAACTCGTTTTACGCTTTGTAATTATAACTCTATGGTTGTCGAATTAGTTTCTATTCATTTTTATTTCTATTGAAATATTTTAATTTTCTTAAAAAATATTGTCTAATTTCGAGTCTTGGTCGAATCTAAAGATTAGACTTAAAATAGAACAGGAAAAGATTAGAAGTAAAAAAAATAGATACATTATTTTGTAAACTTTTACTTTTTTATTTTTGTTATCAGTCGTTGCAATGACTGCTAATAACAACAAAATAATTTCTCTATTCCTTTTATCTCTCTCTCTCATCCTTTTCTCTATTTTAAGTCTAATCTTTAAAATCGACAAATTATCAATATTGTAAATATTTTTCAAGAAATTTGTGCCTACGTGTCTTAGGTATTAGGACATAATTATCTTTGCGGCGTGATGTGCCATCACCAGACTATGCTTGCCTTCGTTCACTAAGGACAGAACATGGTCGGAGCACGTCACTAAGCCGCCATTTTCGGTAATTAATTTTTTTGTAGCCGTTATATCATCGGGTTTCACACCGCGACAGCAATCGTCAATCACGGCTAACCGATAACCATACCACAAGCCATCTAAACAGGTTTGCTTCACACATACGTCATAGGCGATACCGCATACGTACAAGTGTGTGGCACCAGCGGCCGACAAAATTTTATTCAGCTCCGAGGAACCATCTGTATCTTTTTCGAACGCTGAATATGTCTCCTTCTCTGGGTGCTGACCTTTATATATCTTAAGTATAGAAAGGGAAAGAATGTATAAAAGTTAATATCAGTTTTGCTATGCGGTTCTAAACAATTAAAGAATCTTTAGTCAAATATGATAACACAACTCTCTCTATTAACTTTTCTATATAAAATTGTTAAATTACCCGTTCGGAAGAAGGCAATATCAGTAGATCTTTATGCAATTCAGCGCCCCAGGTGTTCATAACGCAATGCCTGGGCCAAAGTATTTGCGTTAAATGAGGTTGCAAGAAAACGACGGTGTCGAAGGGCTTCGCTATTTCCTTCGTGATCTATATTTCAGATTGTAGAATTATTTTAGATCTATTTCGGATTATAGGATTACAGGATAAATTTATCTCACAATCAGATAGGATTTATTGTTTAAAATCATAAAAAAAACACTACGGACTTAAAAGTCTTAAACGTGTTAGCTAAACACAAAAATCCAGGAATTATCTAAAAAGAACTGTTCAAGAATTTGTTTAGATATCTGTTCAATTTAGATATCTGTATTTGTATATTTTATATTATCTATATCCAGACAGTACGCATGTCTAAATGTATTAATATATATATCCAGACAATACGCATGTCTAAAAGATATAAAGACGACATCTTTTAGATATGCGCACTGTCTGGGTAAAATGTTTTATGTATGACTACTTGTAAGTATAATATTTTATGAATAAGTAAGTATAATGTATGACTAAGGTATAATAATATTTAAAAAAATAGCAACGCAATTTCTAAAAAAAGGAATATAACTAGAACACTAACATTTATGTTTCATGATCCGAATTACTCATAAACTGTTTTATTATCAGGCAGACATGTCGTCTAAATACCTTAGATTCCGGATGAAATTCGCGCATCGCCAAATTGTCAAAGAAGCTGATGTGGTTCTCGGGATGCCAATCTTGCGAATATATCACTTTATCCCAGCGACCATCCTTCAGAAGTCGATTAATCGGTTTCAACACTTCCAACCCCTCCTGCCCATAGCCGCATTTTCTAAGTGCCAACGTGCCATCGATGAAATCGTTTTGTACATCGACGACTATCAAAACGTTGACGGGATTTATAGTCGCATGTATCCAATTACAACATCTGCAACAGGAATTTGTTTATATTGTGAAAAACAATTCGGATTTTATCTCTCTTAGCAATTTGCTTTTAACCCGTTATTCGCGTAAACAAAAAGAATTATTTTCTTGCCTGTAAAATTTAACAAATGGTTTGGAAAATAATTTTATAATGGTTTAGAAAATAAAAATTATACATATATATCATTTTTAATTTAATTATTTTTAATTATATTATATTATATATCGACATATTATGTACATAAATAAATTCAATTCGCTAGCCGCTATTTATTTGCAATATTTTATATGTCATACATGGCATTGACATCAAAATGCATATTATTTCTTTTTAAATAATAAATAGGTAATTGAGATACTTGTTATATTTGTTTAATAGATACATTCACCTTGAACAAAATCAAACTTACATTTTGTGTGCGCGCTATTTTTTAAATATATTTATTTGTACAAGATTTACTTTGTTCTCTAATAATATTTTTAATTCTTTATTATTTACTTCATTATTCTTCCTCATAATTCCAAATTAATTAAATATTGATAATATTGATAAATATTGATAATATTCTATGTATTTTTTACAATAAATAAACGACTAGCAAATATATAGAATTTATTTATGTACATAATATATCGATATATAATATAGTATATAATTAAAAATAATTAAATTAAAACTGCAAATTTTTTTTACATATAAGTGTGTGTAGACAAGAGTTCTGATGTATGAAATCTTGATACATGGTACTCATCCATTACAAAATATTTTATTCATTATTGTCACTGTCCGCGACTTCAGCTTTCCTCAGCCCCCCCCAGGATTCTCTGTTATTCTCGGTGTCTGTATCGAGCAGCATACCTATGCATTTTTTATAAACGCGGAAAGCGCGAGGTATCTTGAATTTATTCGTTTTCGCTGCGTGACACACATCACATCAAATAATGTTTGGATTGGGTGGAAATGATAATCGCAGTAATTTGTTCTTCCATAATCATGTCTGTAAAATTTCGAACTTCACAATAGATAATAGTAATATACAAATAATATTTGGGAAAAATATTACATTATTATTTCTACTATATTTTTACATCTAATTGCGAGTTGCATATATGAAATTCACGATTATTTTCACTTAAAGGATACATGATATTATAAGTTTTAAATTAATTTAAAAACAGAGAAGAAAACAATAATAATAAAAATATTAATATCAAATAAATAAATAAATAAATAAATAATAAATAAAAATATTATATCGAAGAATAAAACAAATCTTGCACGAATAAATATATTAAAAAAATAGCATGTAAAATATAAGTTTGAATTGTTTATAAAGACAAATGTATTTATTAAACGAATGTCGGTATCCTAATTATTAATTATCACTGTAATTGCCTTACAAGATATATTATTATAAAAGAAATATTTTTATTTATGCTATTCATGATGTTTTATCTTTCCTTTTCCGGTTGGATCGATATCGGGTATTTCCAGGAGATATAGCTAAAGCATGTTGCATCACTTTATATCTAATTTTTCGGAATAGCGAGATAAGATACTGAAAATTTTTTGACTAAAAAATTGAGTAATCCAATTCCGTGAAGAAGAATTAAAATCTCCGCGAAAAGTAGTAAAGATAAGAAAGAGATTCAACTTATATAATATGTATGTCTGAATGAGGTGTTTCCAGCTAATTGTTTTTAGCTAATTGCACTTATTTTTCAATTTAAATGTACACAAAAATTAATTATTTCTAAGTAAAGGGAAAGAGGCATTATAATTACTTCTAATAAATTATTATTTCTATTAAATTATTATTTCTAATCAATTATTTCTTCTAATAAATTATTTTCGAAATTTTAAATACATTTTTCCTCTCAGAACGAAACGACGCGACGCTTCGACGCCGGAATTCGTGTCGCAAAAACATGAATCCTCGAAATATATGCGCGAAGAAACTAATATATCTTATTTATTTTCTATTTCTCTCTTTCACTTATGCGTTTTTTTCCTTACCTCTTCTGGCTTTTAACCGTGTACGAAATTCATTCGATCAATTTCGACAGAAGAGTTTGCGCACGCCTCACCTGTGCAATTCCTGGTCGTTCAATGCGCCGTCCGCATCTGCGTCGAACAGCTCGAAGACCTCTCGTGCCCTCCACTCGTGTTGCTCGACCTCGTCCGCGTCGAACAGCTGAGCACAAAGCGCCCGAAACTTTTCGTAGTCGAACGTCCCTTGAACTTCAACACCGAATCTCGACAGTACCGTTACCGAAGACGACCAAGGATCGTCGTTCGCCGGCTGCGCCATGCGTACCACCACGTTGCTGTCTCTCGCGCGTCACTCTTGCGTTATTTACGTCAGCACGACGATCGCACGACTGTCGAGTGTCGCTCCGATTTTCGTAGGCTCCGATTGTTACTTGTTCCGCCAGTATATCTGGAGCGGAAGTGTCCAAACCTGAGTTGACCAATCAGAAAATAATCTATACTAGTATTTGTATACATGAGTATTTGTAGCGTTACATGGACCGCTTCAGGTAGTCACTCGTAGTCAGGCAGACACGTAATACGTCAATCAATACGATCGTCGTGATGCCGCCTAACACGACATGCAGTCGGTCACGAGCGAAAAAAAAATTTTTTTTCCAATACTTGTTACGAGCCAGCTATTTCTGACGTATTCAAGTATAGAAGCATGCTAAAATTAAGATTATTTTAAATTTTATTATTATTTTAAACTTTATTTTATACTCGTGACCTTTGCCATGTCTCTGATCTTTTCCATAGTCTGCTCTTATCGATGTTACTTTTACGATTCATATTTTTTAATCCATGAAATTATACATCTTTATTCATTTTTATATTGTGTTATGCCGCCTTTTTATATTACTAGACACTACAGACGCGCGCTACGCGCGCGCTATTTATCTTTAACATTTCACTATTAACCCTATTATACACAACTGTCAAAATATACAATGACAGCTGCAAATGAAGTAAGCGCAGCAAGAAAACCAATCGGCATCGCGGAAAAGCGGCAACAATAAACTTCACATCTCCTTTTTAGAAAAGGACATATGTTGTTTACTTTTTAATTCTCATATTCTTTGTTTCAATTATTGTGCTGAAGAAGACTGCTTAGTATTATACAGTCGAAAAACGTTCACAATGTTTCTTCTATCACTAAATAACAAATTATAGATTAATTTAACAGTAACATCTTTCATTGCTTGTATTTTGGCCTTTGACTTTCCTATATTGTTTTTACATATAACGAGCGTGGCCTATTTATTATTTAGAATTTTCCACATTAACTCAGTTTACCTCCGACTTATTTTTTATTCTTATTTCACAAAACACGTGAATACAAACTTTGACTGCGCTTACCTGCGTCTACTCACTTACTGCTTTCTTGGACGAATAAATAAGCGCAGATAAGCGCAAGATTTGTATTCATGTTTGTAAATATGTAATGTAAGGCATATCCAGAAAGAAAGATATAGATTGTATAGGTAAACGAAACTAACGTAGAAAATTTTAAATAAATATTTGAATACCTATCACATCGTTTATGCCTTTGAAAAAATGTACAATTGCTCCCTCACAAAGGACGAAATAAGCGCAAAAATTCAATTCAATTTAATATAATTTTTGGACTGTACATTTCTAAATTGTTATACTAATAGTTTTTGGAGTTTTCTATAATAATATCATTAGAGAAAATATGTATTACTTTTTAAATTAGACGAAATTTTTCATTAGGGTCTATATTTGCGTAACTATTCATTGAGAAGCGTTTAAAGCTTAATATTTCTTGTGCTTTTGAACAATAAAACTTTTAAGAGCCAATATTAATAGAATATTAATAAGATTTTATTTTATTAATTTTTTTCAAACGTGTTGATTGGTTATAGGACAAAAAAGCATTTAAAGCTCAATAGTTTTTGTGCTTTTGAACAATGAAACATTTAAATCAATACTTAATAGAATTTTATTTTATTAAATTTTCAAACGTATTGATTAACTATAGGATAAAAAATTTATCGAGTTTTCAAAAATTCTCCCCTATATAACCAATTAACAGATTTGAAAAATGTGTTGCATAAATTAAATAGTTACATATTTGTCACTCACACACTTTAAAAAGATTTTAAAAACTGTTCGGACAACTAAAATAACGTTTATTGCTCGTAAATATCATTTATCGCTCGTAACAATTCCACTGTACATAAAATGCAATTAAATTTATATAGATTTCTATAGATAAATATAAAACGCAAACACTTTGTTAAGTTTAAAGAATACAACTTGACAATGATTGCGCGAATTTCGTTAATATATTTATATTATGGATATTTGGACTTTCATCCTTCTACGTAAATCTGAAATCTCGGCCTACCCGCAACTCGTCGCGTCGCGTAAAAGAGTCACGCTGCGGTCTCGCTTCCCGTATACTTGACGCGAAACACTACCGTGTCTCTTGATAAAATTCTGCTGAGTTGTAATACTTATATTATCTAATATAAAATGCACGTGATAACACTGATATTTAGCATAGTATTCTTTTTTAAAAATATTCAATGCTAAAGTGACTTAGGCTTAAACAACTCATACCGATACCAATAGCAAAAGATTATTCTTCAACACAGCGGTATGACTACGGCAAATCCTCGCGTCATAACGATTACAGTCTACTTTTTGCTATTTAAAAATGACCTCTATATAGTACCCGCCCTACCTTCATCCGGCTTCGATAATTATATGTATATATACAACACATATGTACGACTTATATTGTGCGAAAACTATTCAACTCATTGTTTTCGAATTTCGTGTTTAAAATATAAATTATTTTATTTGTAAAGATCTTTTCAATATTCAATTTATGTCGATATTATGATAACACGTAATTCTTTTCGTGTATGACAAATTCTATTTAATACTAAAAGTATATATACCATTAAATTGTCACAATCAGCTCCGTAATTTTGTTTATTATTCTGTTTTATTATTCTCTTGATTAATAACACCAATGCTTTTGATTATAATTCATTTATTTTTATATACAAAGAAAAAGTTTCAATATTTTGTGTTGCCACGTTCTTATCATCGTTAATTATTATGCAGATGGCAAAACTTATTCAGAATCCCATTATTATTCATTGAAAATAATTTTTTTATAATTATTTTTTTATAATCGTAAATTATCCGTAATAAATTACTTTGCTGCAAGAGAAAAATGTATTAAGAGTTGACTCAATTGCTATCAGTAATTTTCACATTTGTATGAAGAATAAATAAATATTGATATTTTCGATCATCGATATCAATAATATTAAATTGATTGTCATTGATAATAACGTTTGATAATAACGTGGTATTATATTTCCAGCTTTGGCATAAAATTGTATTTCAAGAATAGCAATCGGCACGCGATTCAAGTGGTGGAGAAGAAAAGAGACGGTATGTATAAAATTCACAAAAAGTTATTAAAATCTTGCCCAATTTCTTAAAAAGACATATTTTTTACTGTTATATCAAATAATAATTTGAACAATGATTGCGTTCGAATAGCATTAGCGTAATAGCAATAATAATTTTGTACATAGGAAAATTCTTAATTTTTCTCCATAAAAGTATAAAATATCTCAAGTTAAATATCTTTGCTATTTAAATTTAAAGTCACACATGTATATGCTGCACAGCATACATGTATTTCGATTACTTTCTTTATAATGGTATCATCTTTTCTCTTGTTTAACAATTGTTAATTATTGTAAATCCTAATAAATTTCTTTTAAAAATTCATAATAATTTATAAGTAATGTACCTATGTCTTTTTTGTCATGTCTCATGTCTATTACGTACATACATTTATAGGTAATGTAGTATATATAAATCTGACGCATTTGCAAGATTGAATCAATATTGTTACGCAAAGCAAACAAGCTAAGTAGATATATGTTATACGTTATATTAAAACAAAAACACTTAAGTAATGTAAAATATCGATGATTCTAATAAATATAACAGTCCAATAATTATACTTTCATGCACGAACAAATTGATCTGATCATCCGATATAATATCAGACATATCACTTTATGTAAGATGTGTTCAATATCTTAACATTCATAAAATTGTGACTGGCAAAATTAAAAATGCAAAAAATGTTGTAGACACCAATATTACACAAATAACTGGTTAGAGATACATGATTTTAAAAACAATTTACTGATAGGAACATATAAACTATAAAAAATTATGTTATAAGTATCCAATTTAATTTATTTCACATTAACTTGTTAAATGTAGGAAGGAACGAGAAAATAAATTATATACATTGTTTTGCATGAAACATATATTAAAACGCATTATTACATTCATGAACAAAATGATGAGAATTTCAAAAAATAACTAATCACATTAAAGCAACACAAAAGTGAAATGTCAACACAAAATGAATTGTCAACAAATTGACAGGACTGAAAAATCGCTTACATACATTTTTTTAAATAAAAAGGCAGTGATTATACATATTTCTTCGTTGCCGTTAATTAAACCGCACATAAAAGTGCTTAAACTAATATCCATTCCTATAAGAAATATCTAAAGATAAACTTTCTTCTCTTTGTGAAATGTATGTAACGTTTAAAAAGTAATATTTGGTAAACACTTTACTGCATCAAAAATTGACTACGTTAAAATAAACATAAATGAGATATGTAAAATATACGTTTATATTTTACACTCCACAATACTTTAAATAAGAAAATAATTAAAAGAAAACTATTAATTTGGTATGTAGAAAGACATCCAAAATTTTAAACTCATAAATTTCTTACCTATATGATCAGTTCTCAGCGCAACGAACGATCAAATAACTTAAATCATAAATGACAGAATTTTAGATGCTTATTTTATACTACCTATATCAAAATCTTATGTATTAAAATTACGTTTAATATTAATAGCCGTTGTTTCATACTGCACGATATGGTAACCGGATTAACGCTTAAAATATCATTTGAGCTATCTACAACCTTATTTTTCCAGGTTTTCGTCATTAAATTATTACTTATGCTATTTTGAGATATTGATATTGCGACACAACTTGTCTCTCTCTTCGGTTATGTCAACGGCGATTTTATTAATAAAAGGATGTCTGATCTTGCCATTAATCGCGACGAAGAACTCATCCAGTTCTCCCGGAATGTTATCCCTTTTCTCGTACTCGTACGCTTGCATCAGCAAGTCTAGTCTATCTAAGTCTTTTACGTACAGTGCTTCAGGAGATTCCTGTTTTTCATATTCCTAAACATTAAAGAAATAGGGAAAATATTAATAAATATTAATGGCACAACGAAAAATTAGAATAACATAAGGATATTCGAAATATTTGTGGTATCTTTCTTACACGAAATATTTGTAGTATCTCAGGTCCCTTATCACCTAGCAGCTTGCAAATCTCCTCCATAGCTTCATCTTCCATTCTATGTTTTTCATCCGGTGGTATGCCACAGTAAGGTGTTATGTCTCCCACAATACACTCGGCCAAATCATGAATTAACGTCATCTGCATTATTCTGCAAATCGAAAAATTATATTTTGCTAATTTTTTACCGTTTCTTGTAATATATATGTGTATGTATATATACAGATATATCATTATCAAAATTAAATTATTCAACTTTATAAAAGCGATTATAAAATTTCAAGTTATAAAAGAGTACTGCAATAATAATGTCTCACTTGGTTTTGTCTAAATTTTCTTTTCCATCCACCAAAAATGATAACATCGCCATTCGATACATATGTCCCGCAATTGTTTCAGGATCAGGTATATTCCGTTTTACCCATCCTGTCCTTTTCATGTGCTGAAAAGAATAACAACAAAAACATGCTTAAGTAAAAGTATATTAAACATCAATTTTTTCCACATTTTAAAAAAATATTTCTCTTGACATAAAAAAAAAGTTTTTAAAAGCAAGAAATATTACGTTACATTATTCGAGTTCTTTATTGTTTCAGATAAAAATGATAGAGAAACTGATAGAGATTTCTAGGATATTAATTTTTTTCTTTATTTTTATGCATTCTCATTACTTAATTATTTTTCTAAGCTCTTAAAAATATACAACAAATATAATAAGGTCTTAAAAATATGTCATAAAATTCAAAACCTGAAATAGAACCTTATATTCACATAAGTAGAGTCGGAAGTATATAAAAAAAATCAATGGAATGCCGAATAATCAAAGACAGAGCTGTGTTGATTCAGCAACGTATCTAATCTAACAATTCCATTCATTTAATCGCATTTGTCTCGATGCAAGTTAGCAAACAAAGAAAATTGCATCACAATTGAATCATGAAGTCAGTTATCAAAGCGTTCATTAGTCAGCATAATTACGCGAGTGTAAATAAACAGACTGAAGGAATGATAACCTTGAATTTATTAACGCCAACAAATAAACTGGGCTAATCGGTTAGAGACACAGTGATAACTGATAAGACTAGTCTTATCTCAAACATTTAAATAAATAAAAAAACAATCTTTTTCTCTATTTTTGACTTTACATCGTACATTTATACTTCTAAAAAATTCTCAAGCATAATATTGGAAAAGTGTTCAAAAGACTTCTTGTGACATCTTGATGCATTTTTATCGTTCAAATAAAATAAAGGATATGAAAAGAATCTTTGTTAATACTAACTTCAACGTATAAAGTATAAAGGACAGTATCTATCGTACAATGAGCTACAAACTGAATTATCCTTGATGTTTTGTTCAAAGGTCAAATATGTATATACGTATACTTTCATACAATTGTATATATATTCATCTGTAAGACCAAACGTTAGAAATTTTATATAGATCATATATCTCAAATACCAACAATTATATATATTTCTCTATCTATTTCTCTCTTTTAATAGTTACTTCTGTATTCCTGCTGCGACGACTCAGACTGAGAACACATCGAAACAGGAATACGAAAATACAAAATGACATTCTCGACACAATCAATTCCTGACAACCACGATTGTCAGAAAACAAATTATACCCTTCTCATTTTGCCATTTCAAATCTTCATCGAGAACGCCTTTGATCATGATACTTCATAAAACAATGTTGACACACAGTCATATTAGAAGAAAGGAGAAAGGGCAATAATCTCGTTGGGAGTGATCAAATGTCATCAAGCAGCAACATGAGACGTCTTCTTATGTAAGTATCCCAGGTAGCAATTAATGTCTAAAAGACATCATAAAGACATCTTTAAGATTTCTGGCATCTTAAAGACATCTTCATGATGTCTTTTAGACATTAATGCTACCTGGGTATGTTTTATTTTCTTTCTTTCTTTTTTTTTTTTTTTGCACACAGTACCATCCTTCTATTCTTTCCTGACTCTCTTCGTTATGATATTCTATTTCCGCGGAAGGAAATCAGAAATAACTGTACTGGCGAGCATGGCATTTTGCACAAGTATCGGTTTTGTCTAGTGATCGAAGGTCACTTGCGAAACGTATAAATTTTGGGATTTGACAGCTGCGCGAGCGTATTGTTTCGGGATTTACCTTCAACCTGCCGACCAGCTCCATGAACTCCTGCAATCTCTTCGTGTCCTGCATCGCGATCGATTAGAATTCCCGTGACCGTTTTGTGCCCGTTCAGTCGTACAGGATCGCTTTTGGTTGAACCCTAGCTTGGCTACCACCGACAACTGCGCTACTCCCGCGAAACGAACACGTCCACGACTGATGACGACTGACGAAAAAATCAAGCGGGAAGTGAACGGTCATTGCAGTCAATCGCGACGAACGATCGTTCCCCTAGGCGCCTTCAGTGCCGTAGCAAAAACTGTAGCAAGTAAGAAGCGGGCGATTCAATCTTGAAAATCTTGAAATTGGAAAATTTTTCGTGATAATTAAATCTGGATATTCGTACTTTTGCCTTGCGCGATAGACTGACGAGATGATTTCTTTCGTTGCTCAAAACTTTGAGCGATGAATGGATCGTGAATCTTACATTAAGATTACACTTAATTAAATATATAGGTACTGTAGAATGGACGGCACTTATAGACCTAGTTTACATCGATCACTTGATACGCGTATTAAATAGTAAATAACTAGTAAATAAGTCTGATTATTGGCTGATCAGTTCAAATATACTATTTGATACGCGTATCAAGAGATCGGTGTAAACTAGGCCATAATCCGATTTTGCACTCCCTTATAGAAATTTAATACTGTAAGGCCCAATAAAGTGATTTTTTGGCAAAAAATCACTTACAGTATTAAATTTCTATAAGGGCTGAAGATCAGCTTCGGGCGATAATTTAATCTTATATTTAAAGTCACAGATATCTTAAATACAATGGCCTAGTTTACACCGATCACTTGATACGCGTATTAAATAGTAAATAACTAGTAAATAAGTCTGATTATTGGCTGATCAGTTCAAATATACTATTTGATACGCGTATCAAGAGATCGGTGTAAACTAGGCCAATGCAAAGTACCATATGATCAGTTCATTGGCTAATTACATCAGTGGATATCAATATCACCACGGAAACAACCAAAATAATAGGCCTGTTCGTTTTTAGCTGAACTTCTTGCTCACAGTTCGTCTTTTCTCTTTTTCCCCCCAACGCGAAAAGAAAAAGAGAAAAGACGAACTGTGAGCAAGAAGTTCAGCTAAAAACGAACAGGCCTAAACTCCGAACTAGTGCAGTCAGTTCAGCAATAGGAAATAGATCCTTTATTACGATTGGTTTGTGCACTCATATCCAAAGTGAAACTAAAAGGCAAGAACCAATCATATTGATGAATCGAACAAAACGCTTATTAAGCTACTTTTTCTGCTGAACGCAGCCTAAACTGTCACGAATGTCACTTCGGGTATTTACCGTCATATACTCAATACTGTTCTGTAATTTACCTGTCTACCTCAGTGCGGCGTATATATATACCAGGTTTTCTGTTGAATAATTGCCAAGTACAACCAAGTACAACGTAATTAGCGTTCAACGAAAGGAAGCGTATTTAAGGCCGTAGGCAAGACCCACTATCATTAGTATCATTTAAAGTAAGTAATTTCGCTAGAATATTTCAGAAAGAAAGTGCTACTCCATTTGATAATCAATTAAGATCAGCTGTTTGATCCTTTCATTAAATTGATTTCTACTCTTAATTAATAAAAATATAATTGGACTCGACCGCGTTAATTTTGCATTGCGGTCGAATAATACAAGGATTGGGATTAGTTGAAATTAGAAACGGTCTAATTAACAACATGTTAAAGTCGCTAACATTCCGAAGTTTCTCCAGGAAACTCCGATTTTTATCTCTGATTTTTACCTCTGATCGCTACAATGCGATTTAATTTGCCGTGAATCGTTCACGTATTCTTTATGATTTTTAAAATAGTCAAACAAGCGAAGTCCTGACAAAAGTGTAAGTAGTATCGCGTTGAATGACAAGCTTAGGAAAATGTGACAATTAAAGACATTTCAAGAACTTTAATTAAATCGGAAATATCGGTGCATATAATGAATTTTCGAATGAAACATAATATGCTACTTAAATGTTTTTCGCCTAAAAAAGAAGTATGTAATGTTACAAAATTAATACTGTAATTAATGGAAAAAATGAGGTTAAGTTGCGTCAAGAATGATGTCATCTCCTTAAATTAGATAAAATGCGCGTAATATGCGATATAATAGATTTTAAATAGAGGATTTTAGCAGCGTATCGTTTTCGAGTGATATTAAGTCAATAAATAATTTTGCAATCCAATTTGGTATTGATCAATTAACATGTATTGTTTTGACAGAAAGATAGAAATACATATCAATATCATTTTTCTTTAATTATAGAAGAGAAGTCTATATAAAGTTCTAAAAGATTTTGTAAACATAATGGCTGAGAAGGAAGAAGAGGAAGTTACAGACATACTTTGGGTAAGTTATCTTTTGCAACCTTAAACTGAATTATTCTTACGATAAATTCTTACGTTACATTGATTTTCCTAACATCAATTAGTTATACTAGTTTGCTTGTCTCTGTCGTTCCAAAGATATATAGAATTTAAGATTCGAATTTAACTAACAATCGAGGAATTAGTTGCTTGACATTTTTCCTTAAGTAATTTCAACAAAGACATAAAAATGTTTGAGCGTATTGTTAACGGTATATTTGTTTTTCAGGAAGAGACGAAGACTTTTGCCGTGGAACAGCAACAATGCTTGTATGATAGTCTTCCTGACTACTTAATGTATAAAAGTGATGAACATAAATATCTAAAACAGAATATTGGATATGCTCGTTATGGGTCGCCAAAGGATACCAAGGAGGCAAGTGCAACAGAGAGCAATAGCTGTTATTGCAAAACAGAAAATTCAAGTGATACAGACGTAGCTGATTCCGTGGTTTATGATAAAAAAGCTCAAGAGACCATAGATAAGATATATGATAAGATCTGCAAATGTGCCGGAGAAACTGATAGTTCTGAACCAATTTATGTTGGTATAATTTATAATATGGTATTCCGTCAGAAAATGAATATAAAATCTAAGAAAAAAGAAGGAAAAAAGAAAGAAGAAAAAACGGAAGTTAAAAAAGAAGGAGAAACGGAAGTTAAAAAAGAAGAAGAAATAGAAGTAAAAGAAACGAAAACAGAAGCAAAAGTAGATGAAAAGGATAAGAAGATAATACTACTTGACGTATTACCTGTCCCCATTTTTAAAATCAAAAGAAGGATTCAGAAAAACTCCGAAACTACAAAAAACGCAAAGCAAGAAGACGCAGCAATTACCGATGAAATACAGTATGAAACATGGTTCGTTGCTCACAATGCCAGAGTGTATAAAAATTGGAGAGACTATGTCGAAAATAATGATTTACCAGCTTTCACTATGGTTCTTCCAAAAGATGGTGTTTATCAACCAAATCCGGATTATCCAATTACAGAGGATTATTCGACGGTTTGGCTGGAAATTATGGAGTCTCCTGCGTGTAATTGGAAAACAAAACTCTGCTATGGAATCGATATCGCTTCCAATGTCGTTGGATTTGGCACCGTTGGCTTGACCGTTGCTTCGCTGTTCACACCTCTTGCACCAGTTGTTGTCGTGTCAGGTAAATTGCCTTTTAACATATAATTAATGCAAAATTAATTTATTATGTTAAATATTGATTGTATAACTTATAATTTACTATTAATGTTAAATCATCATGTTAAATATTGATTGTATAACTTATAATTTACTATTTTGTGCCAGTATTTACGCAACATCAGTGCCTGAGAAACACCGTTTTACATTACATTTTATTCTGTCGCATATATTAGGTCTTGCTGCTGCTGGTGCGACTGGTGCTTGGTCATTTGGCCGAAACGTACAACAATTAGCAGATCGCAGTAGCCACGAAGAATCTATTCATGTGTTTGACAAAGAAGCACTTCCACATTACCTTGGCATAGCCGGTACTGCATTTGGTTTAGGAGTAGTTGGAGGATCAGCGATTATTTCCAATGTTGCTGCACGTGGTATGACAGTAAACACCGTCGCAAGAGCAGCATTCAATACTGTACAAGGTGGCAATCTGTTCATTAATGGCGTTGGCGTATTATATCAGAGTTACAACATGATAGACAAATATATAACAGACAAGACAGTCAGCATGGGAGACGCACTAAATTTGGCGACGCATCTTATGTTTTTCTGCGGCTCCGTAGTAAAGGTTCAATTCGCCAGCGACATCATCGAGAGTACCCAAGGTAGAATTATGACTGATTACAAGGAGAGTTTGGGCACTAAACGTCTCCGTAAAAAGTACAATCGCGCTTTGAGAAAAGCTGCCAAAACTAACGTATGCAAAATAGAAGAGAATGCAGAAGTGATACGCTACATAAGAAATCGTCAAGAGCTATCGTCTAATCAATCTTTAACTAAAGGCGGTAACCGGATATCAGACAAAGCTTCACGTAATATCGTATGGTCGTGCGAACATGGTAGACTAAAAGTTAATGGTATCTTATTGTTAGATCCTATCGTTTATGTTACCCGTCTTATAAGACTGGGCATATTCATCGAAAGTAACCAGAATAATTCATCTGGTCCACATGCTGATGACTCTATCGCTGATCAATTAGCAAGGGTACTTTGTGATTTATTATCGAAGTTGTATGTAAGCGACGACTGTCCCAAAAGCACCAAAATACCGATAGTGCCTGACTTTGAACCACTGCTAAGGGAGATGGGTTCTATGAACATTAATGAAGAGTGCTTGAAGAAGCTATTTGCAGTCGCTGTAAAGTTAATGAAACGTTCCAGAGATATGGACGATTTTTTATTTCTAACTTTTACCTTTGTTTGGCAGTATTGTAAAGCGAATTTGAAGCAGTGGGGCATGAGCTTAACCTATTGCACGCAAAGCATTTCCAGCAGCAAGATTTTGGAAAAGATTATTATCGCAATTTTTGAAGCGATTGATATGTTGCTTAATAACTTATCTAATGCTTTTATGACGTATATGAACACCAGTTTGCACAGATAAATAAAGAATATAAATTTTAATATGACTAATACGACAAAGAAAAATTAGAAAAATAGTGCGCACAATAGTTTATGTAGGAATAAGTCACGATTTGTATAGAAATATATGCTATATTTATTAGGCAACAGATTAGTAAAGTTTAAGCTTTAGAGTGAAGTCTTTGCCACACGGATTTGTGCCTAGATACATCATTGAACAAATAGTGAAATTGTTAACTTTTGTTATAATTTATCTTAAATATGTTATAAATAATTACATTAATTTAAATCAAATTTATATCAAGAGACACAATAACAGCTTGCGCTAATTATAAGTATAACAACCTTAAAAACAAGTCACATGTATATCTATTTTTAAAAACATATCTTTTGGCGCATATGTGTCTCAATAAATGAATGGTGTTATATATTTTTAAAGTATTGTAATATATGGAGGGATAAAAACCAGAGTGTAAGTCAAATTTTTTTAAATATTTTCTTGTGTGCATAGATACAATTTGTACAATATATAAATTGCATCTATGCACATGAGAAAATATTTTTAAAAATTCGACTTACACCACTCTGGTTTTTACTCCTCCATATGAAGGGGTAAAAGACATAGTAATGTAAGTCAAATTTTTAAAAATATTTTCTCGTGTGCATAGATGCAATTTATATATTGTATAGATTGCATCTATGCACACAAGTCAAAATATTTTTAAAAATTTGACTTACATCACTATGGCTTTTAAGTTATTATGAAAAAGTGCTTCTCGCGCAATTCGGAACAATTACAAATCTTTGGAAATACACCACATATTCTGTGCCTTGTATTCCAATCTTTTATGTATTGTATGTATATTTTATATATTATATATGCAAAGTATATGTCATTGAAAATTATAAAACAATAAATACGATCTATTTCCTTATTTGCACTTTGTACTTTTCATTAAGTTATAGTTTATCCTGATTTAGCAAAATAAAGATTCGCAAATCTAGAAAGTATTGAATACACCTAAGGGCAAAAAGAATGTAATAGCTAGGAAGGAATTTTATTAAATATTTAATTTTGTAAATGTAACAAATATATCTTAATTTTTGTATTGAACCATTCTACTAGAAAAGTAAAAAACGAGAGAAAAGAGATAAGACGATTCTGAAATCGTTTCTCGATTTCAAAGATTAAAAATTTACAGACAGTTATACTTTTTCCACGTGTATTCTTTTCTTATTTTTCTTAATTTCATTTTAAATTAATAATAGTACAAAACAATGCTTTTTTTGTGATTGTGCCTTAGTACAATATATCATATACTTTTTACTTATTCTCTTTGTACGTTCCCTTTAAAAATAATTTTACTTTTTCTTTTTTATATCCTTTCAATTCTCTATTTTATTTTATTCTTTTTCTTATTAGTAAAAATAGAGGAAAAGAAAGAGAGGGAGAGAATTCTTTTCTTTTTCTGTTTATAAAATATATAATTACAAAATCAGCCGATCCAAATGCGAGGGAATAACAATTAAGGAAAAACAACCATAATTTCACGCGATATCTCTCGCCCTCGGGGAAACACGACGAATTCGAACACGAGGGCGAATCCCCGCCGTGGCTCTCATGCGGATACCATCTTAACGCGCGCATGCGCGGCCGATAATTGAGGATCGGCACGCGACTCAGTCAGCTGACCTGTCTTGTGATAGCCAGCTAGGCCGGAGACTCGCGAGACAGGCACGGTAGCACGGTCCTCGTCGCTGGCTGAACTTCGCGCTGGAAAACGTCGCACCTCGTCGCCGTGAGTATCCGCGGTCGAGACTCGACCGTCGACGTTTCCTCGTTCGCGCGGACGGACTCCGAGTCAACGTTTCCCCGTCGGAGCACTCCGTGCGAGCGAGCGAGCGAGCGGAGTTAGTATACCTATATCGATCCGGTGGCCACTTTGCGTGCGCCATCGTCTTCCACGATCGGGCGCGAATCCACGAAGCCGATTTCCGGCCGGGAGAGACGCGGAACGTCGATCGTCGCCGACGGCCGCCGCGATCGATCCGCGGCCGTCCGCGGACGGGAAAACGCCGCCTCGTCTCCGCCTAGCAGAAGACGGTCTTCACGGGGGCTACGCCTATTTTTTTGAATGGCCTGCTCACGTGAGTCGCGCAGCCAGCGTGTGACAGCGTGCGCTTCTCCGACAGTCCGTCTCGGCCGCACGTAATGATCGACTGTCCTGTTCGGTTTTACTCCAACGTTTTCTTGGGTCTTTCGTTTACTTCAACCGCGACAAATGATATGTATTTTTCAGGTTCTGGTGTGGACAAAAATTGCAAAAAGGCGTAAGAAGTGCGGTTTAAAGAAGCAGGCTTGTCACATACGCTTGATATATATCTGCATTATGTATTCTTTTATTTGATGTATTTAAATTGAAACAAGTGTTTTTGTTTAAATTTAAAGCGTAGATGGGAGAAAGAGAAGATATAGTTGAGGAATAATTTTCTGGCGCAAATTTATGTATAATTTGAGCTGCGGCGATCAAGATAGATAAACGTATGTCAATTTGCGCGATAGCGACTCGTTTTCCTTGAGTTTTGCAATATTTAATTCACAACCGACAGGTAGCTAGGTCATAGTTTGAAAAATCATTGGGTAAAAATTATATTCTTATGCTAGATGTAATCGGTGATAAGATAAAACATTTTTAATATCTGCCACTGAAACATTCCTTCAAATCCTGATAAAATAAAAACCTTGTTTGTAAAAAGATAATCATGTCATGTGTTACTTAAATATTTAACGTTTAGGGTATATAGTTTGATGATATTTCTCTAAATCTATATTATATAATGTAATTTTCTTCTGTCTCTCCTTAAATTCTACGTTTTATTTTAAGACGTGAAATGGCAAGAAGTATATAAAATTATAACTATAATATAATTTAATTATAATTTTATAATTTATAAGATCACAATTAAATTATATTATAGTTATAATTTTTTCCTCTGCAAAATAAAATTTTAGTTATTGAATGTACAAAGTAATAGATACAATTTCTTTTTTTTTCCAGATAAATTAAGTGTTCAAAATGACGAACCAGAGTTTAGCGAAGATTGCGCATGAGGAGCGGGAGGGCAAGTTCGGATACGTCTATGCGGTATCCGGACCTGGTTAGTTTCTAGTTCTTCTCACATGAATTTGACCTTGCTCTGTTACATACTTTTTATCTGACATTCTTCTTCGTAGTTGTCACCGCGGAAAAAATGTCTGGATCAGCTATGTACGAGCTGGTGAGAGTCGGTTATTACGAGCTGGTAGGAGAAATCATCAGATTGGAAGGTGATATGGCTACGATACAGGTAACAAGTGTACTACGTACATTTATGTTTCATCTTAGGATGTTGGAACAGTTTGAATAATCTCGCAATATGTTTAGGTCTACGAAGAAACAAGCGGCGTGACAGTTGGTGACCCCGTGCTTCGCACCGGGAAGCCGCTGTCCGTCGAATTGGGCCCTGGCATCCTCGGCAGCATCTTCGACGGTATTCAGCGTCCGTTGAAAGACATCAACGAGCTCACGGGCTCGATCTACATCCCGAAGGGTGTCAACATACCGGCGCTTTCGCGTACCGCCAGCTGGGAATTTCATCCGCATAACGTGAAAAACGGCAGCCACATCACGGGCGGTGACTTTTACGGCGTCGTATACGAGAATACTTTGGTGAAGCATTGGATGATCATGCCGCCCAAGTGCAAAGGCACAGTCACGTACGTCGCGCCCGTTGGCAACTACACTGTTGATGTAAGATTTTGTTTCTTACGTAATTTTATTCCACACTTTATATTTCCAAATTATAAATTTATGTAAGCATGTAATATCTTTGTAGGATATCGTATTGGAGACCGAATTTGATGGCGAGAGGCAGAAATACACTATGCTTCAGGTATATACTTCTATGATAACATAGGTATATGAGACTTTTGATTAATTGCTTACTGTGAATTTACGTTTGTATTCGTGCAGGTGTGGCCAGTACGTCAACCTCGCCCGGTTACTGAAAAATTGCCGGCTAATCATCCTTTACTCACTGGTCAACGAGTCTTGGACTCTCTTTTCCCGTAAGAACATCTTCGGATAAGCATATTGTAGAACGCATCGCAGAAATATTTGGAACGTGGATGCAACAGATCTGTGTTACAGATGCGTCCAAGGTGGAACCACGGCTATTCCTGGTGCTTTCGGTTGCGGTAAGACCGTCATCTCGCAGGCCTTGTCCAAGTACTCTAACTCCGATGTGATTATTTACGTCGGTTGCGGAGAACGTGGTAACGAAATGTCTGAAGTACTGCGCGATTTTCCTGAATTGACCGTGGAGATCGATGGTGTCACCGAGTCCATCATGAAACGTACCGCTCTGGTCGCCAATACGTCTAACATGCCAGTAGCCGCGCGTGAAGCGTCTATTTACACCGGTATGTGCGATACATTATTAAGAAAAACTCATCAATTCACTCGTATATAATAGTTAATGTAAATAGAACTTATTCAAGTTATAATAATAAATAATTTGTTGTTTGTGACGCAGGTATTACGCTATCTGAATATTTCCGTGATATGGGTTACAACGTGTCGATGATGGCGGACTCGACATCTCGTTGGGCTGAGGCTCTCCGAGAAATTTCAGGTCGTTTAGCTGAAATGCCTGCCGATTCTGGTTATCCTGCTTATCTCGGTGCTCGTTTAGCCAGCTTCTACGAACGCGCCGGAAGGTACGATGTCATACTTTGACATATAAAGTAGTCAAGTGACTAATAATGTGACCAAGTATCTTTCTCGAAATCATAACACATCACGGTGAATATATGTATAATATTAATTATATGTACAATCTTGGAAGAAATTTATATTAAAACAAATAGTACCTTGCCGCTAATCAATGCAACTAATATTGGATGATTCTTACGTAGAGTGAAGTGTTTGGGCAATCCAGATCGTGAAGGATCTGTTAGTATCGTCGGTGCCGTATCACCGCCAGGTGGTGACTTTTCCGATCCTGTGACCAGCGCGACGCTCGGTATTGTGCAGGTACAAAGGACATCTGCATATGAAGAAATAAAAAAGCATAATGATAAACTGATTTTTTAACGAATTATTTAATTTGTAGGTATTCTGGGGTTTGGATAAGAAACTTGCGCAACGTAAACACTTCCCGTCCATCAATTGGCTCATATCATACAGCAAGTATTTGCGAGCACTGGACGATTTCTACGACAAGAATTTCCCGGAGTTTGTCCCGCTGAGGACGAAAGTGAAGGAGATCCTGCAAGAAGAGGAGGATCTGTCGGAAATCGTGCAATTGGTAGGCAAGGCTTCGCTCGCCGAAACGGATAAAATAACGCTCGAAGTAGCAAAATTGTTGAAAGACGATTTCCTGCAACAAAACAGGTACGACATATTATCTTATAATAATTCTGTGCATGTTACATCAATATTGCAAACGGTTAAATATTACTTGAAAGAATTTCTTAATTCTTTTCTGAATCATTTTTTTTTTTAATTTCTTCTAGCTACTCGCCGTACGATCGTTTTTGTCCATTTTACAAGACCGTGGGAATGTTGCGAAATATGATCGCATTCTACGATATGGCAAGACACGCGGTAGAATCAACAGCGCAGTCCGATAATAAAATCACATGGAATGTCATCAGGGACAGTATGGGCAATATTCTCTATCAACTGAGCTCTATGAAGTTCAAGGTGGGTGAAGTTCAAACTTTAAACAAAAATCTGACTGATCTTTTCGTAACTTTAATTTTGATGTATCTCTGTCTTTTTATTAAAAACACACTTATCTGAAACTTGTAGGATCCTGTTAAGGACGGCGAGGCGAAAATCAGGTCAGACTTTGATCAGCTACACGAAGATATTCAACAGGCATTCAGGAATTTAGAGGACTAAATTCCTAACTCGTCACTTGTTAAAAGCAATTTTAAGATATTAATTGTTTCTGTAACTTGGCTCTAACATTTAAGGATGTCCCGGTCCAACTAGTGAATTGCATATAGCTTGCTAAAAATATGACTACAAGCAGCATTATCGATTACGTCATATATTATTTGCTGAATATGCGAATATATCCTTGAAAGCGTTTGAAAATGAATTGTAAATAGATTAGCCACGTTGAAATCTACTATCATGCAGCGAAATAATCGAAAGAATGTCATGTTATGCACGTGACGATTGTGACAATAAAGTGGGACATTCTTAAATGCGTTCGAAGCGTACATTTAAAGATACGCTCCGCTTCCTCGAGAGTTAACCCGCTTGGCTCGAGAACAGAGCTACTTGTAATTAATCGGATATTATCAGAGAAAGTAATTTTATCCTTCGCGCAGAAATATACTTTCGTTTTTTTCCCCGCTTTGTCAAAGGTGCAAATAACCAGAAAGTTATTCCTATATGTTTTCCGTAAATGTGTAATATAAACGAAAGTATAAAACGGCTGCCTGTTTCATCGATGATGCGCGCAGACTAGAATTATGGTATGAGAAGATACTCTTAATTACCAGTTATGTGACACGTGGATAACACGGCAGTTCTTACCTTGCAAAGAGATTGTGAATCGTGGAGTATTAAATATTGTAACATATAATGTACTATTTAAGTGCGATGAACGATAATCGCAACTGTTATTCATTAATTAAACACACTATACCTTAACGTTATAAACATGATTTAAAAGTTTAGAAAAGGACATACACACCCGCGTATACATGATACATTAGAGACAGATGATCAAGGTGCAGGGTCTTCAATATCGTGAAGATAAATACGAAAGGGAAAAAAAGAACGTGTAAACATGTTCCATTGACTTCGATATCATTTCCATTGTATGATATGTAAAAAAAAAAACAATAAAATTATGCACAAGAGGATCATGGACTTGGATACGGATATGATGATACCAAATAAGTTCTCATATACCACTCTCAATTTTTCTCGTTTTAATCATAATTATCATTATACAACAATAACCTCGCGATATTTACATCAACGGTATATTACATTCCGATATCTAATGTTTGATGAATTAAAATTTTGACTTTCTTTTTTCCATGTCTTGTATTGACAAAAATATGTTATTGCCACATGTATGTCAATTTGTATCTCAAATATGTATACATGCATGAGCAACTATACATATATGTTCATATGTGTATCCATATATACATATATGTATCCATATTGATCACATTTAAAATTTTAATTCTAAACTCAGCCTATTAGATACTCTATTCTATAATTATGTAAACAGTATTAAAAATAAAAAATAGTCAATGAACTCTGCGCGGTTCCTATGCTTCGTTTGTATCATCTGTAGACTCTTTATGTGAATCAATGCAAATTGCTTCCTTTCTCAAAATAATTTCGGCTGCACCGCCGTTTGAATTTTTCCGATAAAAAGAATATTACGTCAATGTTTTGATACTCACAGCCATGATGTTTCAACTTAAGCCAGTTACATTGACATGTTGCGTCTATTAGCGAATTCGGGCGCTTGCACTAGTGCACACTGAGTGAGAATAAGAATTAACTAAGGCTTGTTCTTAGTTAATTCTTATATTTACAGATCATTTTAAATACTTCTTACAGTAAAATGATCTGTACAGCATCTATACAGATTGTTTTATTTTTTTAAACGTGTATTTAAGCGATATTCAATCTATGAACAGAGATTATATAAACGAGCCTTAATGCGCACTCAGTGTGCACTAGTGTAAACGCCCGAATTCGCTATGTGTAATATCCAATAGGTCTTCCATGCAACAGTCATAACTACACGGCTGTTACACTTTCTATTTCACCTAATTCATTATTAAACAATACGCGTAAAATATATTTTCAAAAATTGAAAAAAATCTTTCAGTATATGTATGCATAATCAAAAGCATTTAGCACTATATTAATTGTGTTGATATGAATTAATTGATATGAATAATCGATCACTTAATAAGATCTTTATAAATTTTAATATAACATCATTCGTGTTACAGCTTACATTTTATTATCACAAAATAATTACGTAATAAAATAAAATTATTCTTCTAGACTTCCTTACAATTTCCGATTGCATTGTAAGAATTGGAATATGTGCAAAAGTTTTCACTTATCTTTTATCAGTTTTTGTTTCTAAAAAATAATTTTTAAACTTTGCGATCAGAAACTTTTACATGTTACCGTAAAATAAAATCTATTGCTGAGAGAAAATTGATATTTGAAATTAATAAATTAGTCTGTATGAATTTCTATAAAATATTCGTATTACAGCTATAAATGTGCAGTTATGACTACGGCTACGGTCAACGTGATGCTACAAATGCTTCGAAGCATTCCTGTTCTCTTTTCTTTCAATGAAGAAAGAAAGAGAAGAACGCTTCAAAGCATTTGTAGCCTCACGTTGACCGTAGCCTATATTATTAGAAGTACGCAACTTGACTTTGGAATTCAAGATACTTCAAAACTTGGTAAGACCGGTGCAGTCGCCAGAGAAAAGAACAGAATATTGGATTTCCTATAAGACAATTCAGAAATTCTAAAATTTACAGGAAGAGCCATTGACTCGCAAATTAAAGGAAGCTTAAGGACTCAAGTGTACAACGTCAGTACCGGCTGATGGCGAGGACGATATTTGCGATCTGAGTTGAAGATTCTCACGTTTCAATTGGGTAACTAATTGTTTTAGCGTCGTAATCTCTTGCCGCAGCTTCTCGTTATCGCGCAAGCATTGACCCAGGCTTTGATTAGCCGTGCGCAATTCTCCTATGTACTCGCAGGCCCTTGCTAAGATACCACCTTTACTCTGTTACGGAAAAGCAACAACACCATTAACATAATATCATTTATGCAACACGTGCATGGAAAGTGCCCCATTACGCACGCTACGCGTGCGTGAGACCACTTTCCAGGCACTTGCAACATAAAATAGGGAGTGTAAGTTGTGTGTAAAGATGAAAATTCCCAGGTGCGGAGTTTACGCCCGAGCCAAAGGCGAGTTACTCGCCTTCGGCTCGTGCGTAAACTCCGCACCCGGGAATTTTCATCTTACCTCACTTGTTACACAAATAACTATTGAATGATCATACGACAAGAATTTCACTTGACTATACCTGAGTTTCATAGTTGCTTTTCCCTTCAGTAATACCACTGCCGCTGCTACTAGTGGTATTAGTCCCGGTATTGCAGTCAGGGATGATCTTGCCCAACTTTGTAATCCAATTGTTTATTTTATCTCTACGCCGGCGCTCCACTTCGTTGTGCGTTGCTCTCCGCCTGTCGTCTCTCTAAGAGAAGGTAAAAAAAAATAACTTTGCACACTACGGAAATAAAGTAATAATCCATTATAAGGTAATAATGATATATCAAACCTTTTTCAAGCCAGGAGCGCAACTCCTTGGGTTTTCTATCTGCAACGTGGTTGCTCTCGGCACCAAGGATCTCGACGTCTGAGCTGTGGTAAAGACATCGTTGGCATTCCCGATAACATAAAACTGGCCATTCAAAGGTGACGTTAGAACCTGTACAGTATTGTTCCCTGGTTGCGATACAGGCAGCTCTATCTCATTGGCCGACTGTATAGCCGCCGTGCCGTTCACCTGGACAACTCGGTACGCTAAAGTCTCTGGATAACGCATCTCGTCCTCTCCGACAGGTTCCTCTGAGAGAAATAGAATACGCCACAATAAAGATTGATGTTTAACGACATAGCCGTCACAGTCATTGTGTTAAATCCGAATGTGGATGCTGATATAGCTCAAGGCTCAAGGATCTCAATGAAAGTGGCTTGTTTCTCACCTTCGCAGTTTACTATCTCCGCTTCCTCTATAACGATCCCCGTCGTGCCGCTGCTGCCGTCGTCCTTCACGGCGCTGCAAAATCAAACAACGCTTTCAGACGCGATATCATCTAATCTCAACGCGGCTGCATGCTACACGTGTATTACTTCGACGACTGTGTCAGTCGGTCCTATACGGCGTAAGTTAAGTGCGCACTGTGCACTAAGTGACGATGACCTTGAGGAGACCTCGAGCGAGACGGAAAGGATGGGTGTTCGCAATATCGGGCGATCGATATCTAACGTAAACGCTACCTGACATCTTGCTGTTCGAGCTGCTGTTCCAAAATGTCCATTCCTCGTCGCCGAAAAAAAAAAACGTTTGAATTTGTCGAAATTCACGTGAGCTGGTCACGGGACACGGCAACGAGGTCATGTGGTGCACAAGATGGCGTCGGGCGCCGCGCGCGCCGCCCAACGGCGCGCCAACGAACGTCCCCTAACCTTATCGACGATTACCGTCGGGGTTAAAAGTCCGTCGTGTTTTAAGAAGTGACCGTGGTTCTCGGGGAGCGGCACCGTCGCACTCCCATCCCTTCCCTCCTCTTTCGACCCAACTTCTCTCCGCGAAGGTCCACCTCCGCGCGCGCGCGCGCGTGTCTCTCGTTATGTTTTCGCCCGCCGGAATTTTGCGCGGAAACGTTGGGCGTGAGTAGTTGACGAGTCACGCGACACGTGGCTTTGCTCACCGGAGCGACCCGCCAAGAAGCGCGCGAAGAAGCGTCGCAGTCCGTTCCCGCCGAGATCGCGAGGCTTCCTCGACGTCCGTCAAAATGACCAGGTGAGCGGCGCGAGCCGTTGGAGGTTAGGTCCGTTCGCGCGGTAGTCTTCCTACGAGGGCTACGAGTTTTCCCGCCTCGTCGGCGGAATACCCGCGACGGACGTCGTGTCTCGCTCTCGGAATTCGTCGGTCGTCTCGCCTTGTAAGGTCACCTGTGTGTTGAATTTTCAGGTCGAAAATAGAGCTGGGCGACGTGACACCGCACAACATAAAGCAGCTGAAATTGCTCAACCAAGTCGTATTCCCGGTCTCGTACAACGAAAAGTTTTACAAGGACGTACTGGAAGCCGGAGAACTCGCCAAATTAGCGTACTACAATGACATAGTGGTAGATAGATCTCAAACGATTTTTTGTTTAGCATTACGGTTTTTTTAATTTTGCTCACTGAGTACCGGTGGTTCAAGGAACGTTACACTATTCGTATAACTCGATAAGAGTAGCTAATTCAAACAGGAATTAATTGAGGAGAATCCATGCTATTACTAATAGATATTTGAAGTACTTTTCGCAAACCGAAGAAGTTCCAAGATTATTGATATAATACTAATTTTTAGTTTGAATAAAATACAGATCTTGATTTGTGTGTCATGACTTTCAGGTTGGTGCAGTCTGCTGCCGTGTAGATACTTCAGAAAATTCTAGGCGTTTATATATAATGACTTTGGGTTGTCTCTACCCTTATAGAAGATTAGGAATTGGCACTGTTATGGTCCAGCACGTTTTAAACTACGTTAATAAGGATGGCAATTTCGATTCTATCTTTTTGTGAGTACGGCTTGTGCAATTGTTTTATTGTGACATACTTATCTTGGAAGAGTATAGTTTTATAAATAAATGTAATTCGATATTCGCAGACACGTTCAAATAAGTAATGAGGGCGCGATTGATTTTTATAAGAAATTCGGATTCGAAGTTGTTGAAACTAAAGAGCATTACTATAAGAGAATAGAACCGGCGGACGCTCATGTGCTGCAGAAAACGCTGCGTCCACGAACGAATCAAACGAATCATCAAACGGTCAACTAACAAGTAGTATTGTTCATTAATTTATCTTTTTCATAATTTAGAATCTACACACGTTTCCATGTTCTGTCAATAAAGTCATTTTATATTATATCTGCATGGTGTGAGTCAAATTAATCTTTCCTACTTGTGCCGTATACAAAAAACATTAACTGTGGATTAAGAATTGAAATTATAACGAGAAGTTAAAAAAAAAAAGAAGAAAAATACGAGATATTTCCTCTGAAGAAGCAGGAGTGTAGTTTCTGTAGATCATTTTTATTGTCCATCAATCTCTATTCAAATGCACTTAAAAATTTGTACACAATATATTTAAGCCTTCTTTCTTATAAAATTGTAGTGATTAAAACGATTACATGCATATTGAAAAATATATTTGTAAGAAATAAGTATATTGCACATTGGATATCTTACATATCAAAAATTGTCATGTAAAATGAATATTACAGGAATAAGTGCACGCGCGCGCAGAGAAACGTGCAAAGAAACATTTTCATTTGTTATCTAACGTAATATTTTGTATAATGCCTCATAAATATATTCGTAGAGAAATACACGTTTTTACATATATAAAAAAAACAGAATAAATAAATACTATATGTCTGTCTTTTTATATGTACAGGACGTTCTTTGCTAATATGTGGTCGGATATCAGATTCGAAACATCCTACATTCTAATTTAGATAATGCCATATAATACGACAATATATGACAATACATCAATGTGACAACAATAATAACTAGTGCAGCTAATACAGTAGAAAACCGCTAGTGTAAAGCATTATCTGTTAGCCCTAGCTCCTGGAATGTTACAAAATATAATTAAGCCGCAAAAAACAATGACAGATATTTAGATATATCGCCTTCAGATATACTTATATTCGCTGTATAAATAGGTGTTGCTGCAACTGACTGAAGTACATCTGCTCATTCTAGATCAATATATATAATATATATATATATTTTTTTTTTTTAACAGTAATAGTTTTTTTTTAAATATTGGACAGTTATAGTTCCAGCAACTCTTTTATCCTTGCGGCACAGACCTCTGAGCCTTCCATCGCTTCTTTCGAAGCCTACAAACAACAAAGTTAAAGTTAAAATACAATGAAATGTTGCGATTCATATTGCATTGATTCATATACGCTAGAAATGAAAGTTTCACCTGCAAAAGATTAAGAAATCCGTGCGGCAAGCCCGGCAAAATATCCAGCGTAACTTTATTGCCAAGTGAGCGAAGCTTCCTCGCAAACATAATGCAATCATCGAGAGTAGGATCAAGATGACACGTCTAGAAACGAACCATTATATATAAAGTGTCCTAAAATTCTCAATAGTAGTTAAAGTATATTATGTTTTATACATTATTAGATTGTAACAAGAATCTAGAAAATTACCAGTATCTTTATGGGCGGGATATTAGCTAACATATTATCTGGTGCGAGATAAGGGCTCAAAAAGGGGTCCCTCGATATCGTAAAAACGAACTCCTCGGAAGAAATGGCGTTCTCCATATTGAGTTCCCTGCTATCCTTACTACTTCTTCTACCGAAGGACCACCCGAACAAGGACCATGACTTGTTACTTTGTCCTGAATTGTTACCATTTCTACTGACACTGCCGTTCCTCGCAGCAGGCGACGACGTGGAAGCAAGGCCGGAATTTCTGTACATATTTAAAAATCGGCTGATATATTCTTGAGACTTCGCCTGCACTTTCGGACACTCAGTACCTGTTGCATTAAAAGATACCGCATTATTGTACACTCGAGATGCATAGATATGTATATGATAATGAATACTATAAGATGATTGATTTATATATACCGTCGACTTCTGTCAAGCTGACAGAATTTAACGTCGAATCAGACGGAAGGGATACTAATTTCTGATCATCGTTTGCGCCGTCTCCGTTTGGACTCAGGGCTAATGCTATAAGGTCACTTTCGCTGACTTCTGCAAAAGACTCTGTATCCGACTTGACGTCTTCTTCATTATCGTATTCTCTGCTGTACACAAATTAATTATATGTAAAATATAAAACGTTTTCATGAAATGTGTACACAGATTCGTGAGAGTATTTTTACGATTGATTTTTGCTATATGTGTTTCTAAAAACATGTCGATTAAGATACGATATAATTTTCATTAAAACCTTACTTTGTGGGTTTCTTGTCAGGTTGTACCGAATAAGCCTTCAAGCATCGTAACATAAAACCGAACGGTAGTAACGGATCCGTGAGACAGAGCATACGAGAGGGCGACGGGACAAACTCGATGCGTACCGGTGTATACGCCATAAAAATACCGTCCGGTTTCCTTATATTTAATTGCATACATTTCAAAGTAGTTCCTAAGTTCAAGTTCCCTCCCGCAGAATCGCCTGTCAAGACGTCGATTATAAGGCTCTCGAGTTTATATTCAATCGATAGAGAGAGAAACGTGAAAGATAAATTTCTTTTTGACTTACCGACAAGTATCACTTTCTTCGCTGTACTCCCGAGTAAAGTGTTTGCATGCTTTAACGCCCACGCATAAGCATACAGCACTTCTTCGAGCGCGCGAGGATAAGGTGCCTCTGGAGCTAGACTGTAATCTATGCTCAAGATTGGCACGCCGAGCGTCACAGTCCAGTTTCGTAGATACATCTCGTGCGATCGTGAAGTCTGCGACACGAATCCGCCCCCGTGAGTATGAATAATCAGTTCGTCGCAGAGACCGCATAATTCTCCTCCTATACCCCCAGATCCAACCTTTAATAAAGTGTTGTCAATGAAAAATATTATTCACTAACATCACAGCTAAAGCTTCTCTATAAGTCTATATTAAGTTCTGTAACTTATACCTCAGTATATAGTAAGATATAGTCAGTTAAATGAATCGTACAGTACTTCCGATACTCTATAAACACATTAATATTTTACGTACCATTCCTAGACGCCGTTTGGAGCTCAACAGCCTAACGTGGATCGGTTTCTTCCCGATGTGACTACTTGGTATTGGAATTGAAACGGTCCCGCCATCCAAAGTGGGTAGAATTAATTCCTCGGGCGGAATAGATATCACTTGATTGATTGCTAAGTTTGAGGTGTTCATCATGTTCATTATTGCTAAAACGAAGATAAAAAAAATTTCATTAATTCAATATACAAGCGAGATAATTTAAATATCTAAACGGCATCTTAATTGCTGCAGCATAAATAAAGCTTTTCGGATGCAGGACATTCGATATTGAAGTGTACTAAATATCTTTGTTATTTTTCCTTATTTCTTACCAGATTCGCTCAGAAACCAAAACGCCTGGCAGAAAGAAATGTCAGCGTGCTGAGATATATTAACAATACGGCGTGCTCTTGCTTCAGGATCCAATAAATACTTAACGGAATTAGTGCATCGTCCTAATAGAGTACCATTGCTGTAGTACATCTCGCTGAAGGACGCCATAAAGAACGACAGCGTTTTTAATACATGTCTTAAACTATCGCAAAACTGAAAAAAAAAATATTTTAGATAAATAAACAATTTGACATTTCGGATAACTTTGATTCAGGGTTAATGCTATATGAGTTAATAGTATATGACACACTCGTGAATAAATAACATATAAGGTTTGTTCGCGTCGCATATTCCAATAAACACCAAGAGCATTTGGATCACGGATAAAAGGTGGCGATTGGAGCAGATGAGTTTTTTTGGAGTGCGTTGGAATGATTAGGAGCATGGTGGGGCATGCGACGCGAACAAACCTTATATGTTATTTATTCACAAGTGTGTCATATACTATTTGCAAGTACCTGAAACCCTAAACACCTGCCGTAAAAGCAGTACTGATTAATATTCTCTGCATTATTGAGAAGTTCTTGAATACTGTATTGCTCCAGCGGGAACAGCGACAGTTTTCCATCGTCCAACACCTCCGTACTCCACGAGTACATTAGTTTCAACTGCTGCAAGCACGTATGAAGCGACGCCATCAGCTGGGAGCACGCCTCTATTTCCCTGAAAAAAAAAACCCAGGATCAAATCAGTCCATCGTCTCGCGGCGCGCGGAAGCGAATGTAGTAGTTACGCGGCATCTCTACGACGCGCGACGTATACAATTACTTCATGTAGTAGCTCTTCCGGAAGAACACGGAATCCTTCTGATTGTACATCTGCCGGCAGACCAAACCGGAGTACATGATACACCTGTCGACCAACGAGAGGAAGCTCCTGTACCCGTTCCCGGGGGTCTCCTCGTCGAAGTCGAAGTGCGGCGCGAACCTGGCGATCTCCCGGTAGAGCGGCTGCAGCTGGGTCAGGTAATCCAGGATCGCCATGAGGGCGGCCCTGATCCGGACGCCGTTCTTATCCTGGTGGGGCGCAAAGTACTCCACATTGGCCTGGCACAAATCGCGCAACGCGCCCCACTGCAGGGGCTCGAAATCCTCGAACGGTCTCTCGAAGTCATCGTTGAACGTCGACATTTGGAACGATTCTCTGAACGATGACTGGGCCCGATTGTCTCTCTCTTCTCTCTCTCCCCTCTCCCTCTTGCTCTCCAGCAGCGCCGGGACTCTACGCCGCGATCAACCGTCGACGATCTAATAACGGTCAGAACGAACCTTGACCCTGTCACGCATCCTAGACTACCGGTTGCCCGACGTGACCTGCCGGCGTGTCATAACGGACTGTGATCCCGCGCGCACGGCGATCGGGGATCGCGGCCTATGTCAGCGGTAGGCTCGACGCGTGCATCGCGCGGATGACGCCGATGACGCGACGCGCGATTCAGGTTAATCCGACTGCTCGAGACGCCGCTACGTAGTTACTCTGGCCCGTTTGCCCAGTGGATCGAATTCGCGAGGGTCAAAGACGATCGCGATTCACGCCGCGCTATACCGGGCGACGCTGCGATCAATCCCGCTCCGGGGTGGCGCGAAGAATCGCGCGCGCTTGACGGCGATGACGACTCGCGCGAGGAGACGCGACGCGCGGACTCGCGGAAATGAGACCGCGGCACCGCGCTCCAGTTTCTCTCCTCCCCGAAGCGTCCGTCCCACTCGCGACTGTGTCGCGTAATATATGTGTCATATCAGACAGCCCCCGAGAACGGGAGCGGGGATGCGCAATAAAGTTTTCTCGGTCAAGCGGGGAAAATCGACGGGATGAGCTGACATTAGATAAGACACGCGCTGCGTGTCTTTATTTTTATATTTATGCTTCATAAAAAAGCGTTGGAGTTGACGATTATATGTATTAAAGGTCCCTCCTCTGAGATCCGCCCTACATATGTTTTCCGAGCGATATGCAGAAACGCGCATGCATCTCTCCCTCGTTGTGTGTTTAATTGAATGATAATCCAATGAGGATAAATAATAAATAATGAATAGTAAATAGGAAGGAAATAGTAAACAGCTGGGGAGTGATATAATAAATGATTAATTATCATAATGAGTAAATGATGTAATAATCCCGAGCGAGATATATGTTATTGTAGTTATAGCAAACTCGATTTTAAATTCGCATCAGAACATCGAGATATAATTATATCTGCAATTTTACGTATCGATGTAATACAAGCGACATTTAAAGATTTTAAAGAATTGAAATACATAAAATAAATAAAATATGTAATATATAATGTGGGCGTAAATGTAGGAAATATTAATAAACGGAATTATATTTTGAAATCTGAAAGCGGATATGAAAGAGGCGACGATGGTCGGATTAATTTATTAGAGTCCTCCGAAAAAGATTCTACGATGCTCATTGATTGCGAGAAGTTAATTAATTTAATACTAAGTTAATTAATTTAATATTAATATTAATATGAAATAAATTAACTTAACTTATTAATAATCTCTTTAGCGCAAAATTTTTTATCAACGTGATTAATATAAAATCAATTATTTCTATACTTTTAACGTTAAATAGGTATATATATCTCGAGATATGATGATTAAACAGAAATGCGCTTCGATCGATCAGTAGGGGCGTAGGAATTGCTCGGACAAACAACAGCGATGACACACCGAGTCTTAATGAGAAAGAGTTCATTAATAAGAGAGATAAGAGAGAAACTCGGTGAGGCGTGGCGACCGTCTGGATTTTTAAAAAATTCAGTTCAGCAACCTCTGCTCCTCAATGCGGCTTTGTTATAATCGAAATTTTGACATCGTTATTTATCGTATTTTTTATCGTTATCTCACCTGTGGGTAAGAAAAGGAATTTACGCGACTGAAGCGCAATTACGTATACGCTTTATATAAATTATAGCCTGAAGGCTGAACGCTCGTTGACGCTGCCAATGCCATCGACCTTAGAAGCAACACGTTATCACCGATCGTCAGGATTGTCAAGATCATTATCGCGCCGAGAGATTAAGAGAAATAGATGCAATACGCACGGAAAAGTATGACCATGTGCCCTCAAGGCGAGAATATCACAGCCGCGTAGGTATACGATCGTAGTTTTGACGCGAGACTATCCTTTAGACGCGCAACACGTCATCGCCACGCTGGCGATATCGCGTTAAAATACCATTTCTTTTAGAATTTCATTAGTCAATCGCGGAAGAGCGTACAGATAACGAAACGCGAACAAGGCAACAAAGAAAAAATATAGTACGAACGCCGCGAATATTTATATACGAATGAAGCGGGAACGCTTTCGAAAAAATAGCGAAAGCGACGCGCGTGTTGTCGCGCGTGGGATTTTCATTATCTTGTATCTTGTTATTTGCTTAATTGCAAAAAACGCTGACGCATATGCGTTCTCCGTATCGTTCCGTGTGTATAATTTGACGCATGCAAACTCTGTTTCGGCTAGTAAAGTTATCTAACGACCTCCCCTTTATTATCACGCTCAGATATAAAATGTCTCAAATAACCAAATCTGAAGAACAGATAATATCTCATACTAAGTGTCCGCCATAGATTTTGTCAGTATAAAGCGCTAAAAATATAACGGAATCTATTAGCGGAATATGATGGCAGACTTATCCCTTATAGAAATTTATGCAACACGTGCATGGAAAGTGGCCCATTACGCACGCTACGCGTGCGTGATAGACCACTTTCCAGGCACTTGCAACATAAAATAGGGTGTGTAAGTAAGCCGTGCGTAAAGATGAAAATTCCCGGGTGCGTCAACTCCGCACCCGGGAATTTTTATCTTACAGCACTTGTTACACAAATAACTATTAATACTGTGATTTTTTGGTTAGTAATTAATCACTTAAAAACACTATTAAAAGCACTGTTAATAGTGCTTTTAAATAATTAATCACTAGCCAAAAAATCACTTACAGTATTAAATTTCTATAAGGGATTGCAGAAATTGGATAATGATTGAGTAGAATCTACGCATTTAAATGATTCCAATTAAATTGATTACGAAATGGCAGATTCTGCTTATGTCAATGATTTCAGATTATATCGGCAAATTCTGCTGGTAAAGCACGTGTTTAATGCGTAGTTGATGCCGCTCTGCTGCAATCCTGCTTGAACCTGCTAATAATTTGCTTACTAGACAGATATACTGTAACATATATTAATATGTAATAACGACTGATAAACTAATAAAAGAGATAATACAATTATATAACAGTATTAGATAATATAATCATATAATAAAAAATATAGATATAATAAAGATGATTTAATCATATTATACAAATGAACGTCTTTTGTATTATATATTCATCATAGTTACGTTACGTAAAGCTTCTGGGTAGAAACGTAATTAATTTCAATCAGTATAATCACTGGATTTAACAGATAAAACAATTTAATAGATATCAGAATTACGTAAGGACTTATGTAAAGAGCTTGTTTTAAGCAAATCCGATTTATGCCCGCTTTGATGTACCTTCATCGCGAGACGCAACTGCAATGAAACACGCGGTCGGGAGATTCTTTATAATTTATTTATTGATAAGTAAAATTACATATATCCACAAACACAATACGTTCTTTTCACGGGGTGTAATAATGCGTTAAAACTTGTGAGCGGCGAGGAGAAATACCTGCGAAGGAGAAAGAGGGATGAGGAGAGTTTGCTTTTCTTTTTTTTTTTTAGTCTTTCGAAAGTCTGCCCCCTTTTGTGTCTCTCGTGAACAATAGCAAACCAGCGGCACCTGCTCTCGCGATCGCGATTGTCAATAAATAAAAGAAGAGACGAAGGAAGAATCCCGAAGGGTTTCGTTCGCGATGCAGAAACGAATAAGCCTGGAATTTGCAAGACACACTTCGACGCGATATGGAACCTAATCTAAAATAAAAATGAATCCGTGTTATGAGTCGGTTTCATTTCTGAGTCCTTCGATTCCTGACAATTCTTTCGAAAATCGAAAGATCTGCCCGTTACATACGTTATAATGCGTATAAAATGCGTGATGTACATATTTAAAAGCATATAAACATTTATTACATCTGGATAGCCAAATTTGCAGCAAACATCTGTCGAGGACAGACTTTTGAAAGTGTTTGCTGCAAATTTTTGATAGAATGCCAGCAGAAATATAACAGAATCTATAACAGAATATAATGGCAGATTGACTGTGTAGAAACCGAGCAGAATATGCCATTTTGCAACTATTTAAATGATGTATTTAAACATTTACGAAATGACAGATTCTACTCAGTTTCTGCCGGCAAAGTTTAATGCAGACACATATGATACCGGAACTGTTGTGAGCAAATCTGAGCAAATCTGCTGCCAATCTGTTGTCATATTGCGGACAATTCGCTTACTGGGACACATATGTATTGTATGTATACGATGAGTCAACTATTCCATGCATAAAAAAAAATGCAATATCATTTTTTGTGTAAAACAAGTTCTCGGCATGATAATGCGATTGAAATTCCAACGACACACGCTGCAGATACTCTCACAGAACGATCGTTTGTAGCTTTTCAACTGATACAATTTAGTCTCACTAACGTATAATCAAATGTTCTCGCTACGGATTTGCCATTGTTCACAGAAAGAGAAAGCGAAACCTTTCACGCGTAATGATAATTCGTCAGAGTTTGGAATTTTCGATACGCTACGATAAGAAACGTAACGGGGGCAATTACTTAAGTTGCCCTTGCGCCACGCACTGTCTGTATTATACGACCGTGTCGTAAATAATGATACGAATGAATTTCTTTTCGCTGTTAACTTATCTTTTTGATAACGGAAGCTAAATCGGATTCCCGATTGTGGATTTCCGATCCGAGGAGGTTTCTAACCGGGCTGTTATCGCATCGCGCAAAGGTCAACGAATATATGATACGTTTTTCGGAATCGAAGATAACAGTGCGAGGACACGTAATCGTGCTGTTCGATAAACCGTCCGAAGATGATGAGGATGACGCGAGGAGATACCGAAAAAACTGTAAAAATAAAGTCCAGTTTTTTTGTCTCATTATTATACTCTTTCTCCATCTCTGGACTCGCTAATTCTCTGGACTGCGACTTGAAGGACGTATATTTCTTTTTTTTTCTTCTCCTTCACGTCTCACATGGCTTTTAAGCTAAGTTTCAGTTATCTCGATATAATATATATATATATATACTTATTACCTCTTTACAAAAATCAATTCTTAAACTTATACGTACGGAGGTGGCCCGATGCAAATTCACAGTATCTTGAAGCGCACACACCGACCTTCTTTTCTCTCCCTCTCTCTCTTCTCTCTCTCCTTCTATCTTTTCCCGCTACAATCGAATCACCGAAACATGATATGCTCCGAGACTATTGGCTAATACTGATACCTCCCCGATATCTTCTACAAAAGTCATCGGGAGAGCATTGGACCGTTGTTGCCTGCGTATGGCGTAATCTCGCGTTTTCACTCTGGGTAAAAATCGGCGAATCGACTTTGCATGCTTGTACACGCTTGAAATACAGTGTTCCAAATCGCTGCTTGCTTTGCACTTAATCGCGATTAAATTTAACGAACGATATATGTATATTATGTATATATATGTACGCACGCCGATCACAAATTATCCTCAATACAGGCCAATCGTAATGATTGCAAACTATCTTTCTGCGAGAGCAGCTCTAGCTTTGTGAGCCTTAGAAAAATAATAAGTCCCTTTACAATCGCTTAAGGTCTTCAGCATCTGTGAATCCGTATCAAGGTCAGATTTTTTTCCTTTCACATGCGATGTTATCTCCATATTGTTTAACGACTATATACGCTATAGGTACATAATGTTTAATTTAATATGTATACATGTATATGCATGTGTATATCCATATATATATATATTTATATATATATTTGTATATATATATCTCTATATATTATTCTCGTACGTCGTACACACACACACAAACACATATACATATATAATAGACATTTTATATCATTATTGTTAACGCATTGAT